CCTCACACAGGCAAGCCATTGACCTCACACACACAAACACACATACACACCAGACAGGAATAAGTTAGCTATATGAACTCCAAACAACACATGCATACAGTGAGTGGCCAGATTATTATGATCTCTGAACGCTTAATAATCTGGCCACTCAGTATATATATTAGAGGCCCAGTGCATGGGTGGGGTCCGGCCAGCCTGGCCAGGGGGAGGGGACATGGGCGGTTGGCCGGCCTGCCTGCTGGTCCAACTCCTGGTCGAGAGAGCAATTTGCATATTAGCCTTTTATTATACAGGCTATACACTGAGTGGCCAGATTATTATGCGTTCAGAGGCCATAATAATCTGGCCACTCTGTGTACAGGCCAGCCATATGCAATTGATTCCATAGACCAGGGGCCACTGGTGGTCTGTGAAGTCTGAAAGGCTGGCAACCTCTGCCATAGACCATACGCACATCCCCACAATCCCCCCACCCCCAAAGCAGACAGCCCTACACAGCCCTGCAGGGTTGGGCCAACACACACACACACACACACACACACACACACACACACACATGCACTGGGGAGACAGGCCTCATACACCCTGACAAGCCAGCCATATGCAGCCCCACAGCCAACCAGCCGACACACATGATCTTGGACCATCTGAGGCTCTCGGGAGCTCTGGGCTTCCCAGTCTGTGTCTGTCTCCCCTCCCCCCAGATATCCCTGAACTTCCTCTCTCCACACGTTACCCCCTACTTCCCTCCCTCCCTGCTATTTGTCACTTCCTGGGAGGCCTGGCTCAGCTGCCCCGTTCCTGGTGGGCCGGAGGCCTTTTTTCTTCGCACACCCCCTATAAAGGGGGCACCCCGAGTCTCAGCCAGGCCCAGGCCCCCAAAGACCTCACCAGCAGTGTGTGTGTGCCGGGGGGAGAGACAGACTTAGTTTTATGGGAAACTCCCCTCATGCCCAGCTGAGTCAGCCCGAGGAGACAGCCTCTCCTTCCTGCTTCCAAGAAAACCCAGCCGCTTCCTCTCCAGCAGAGGGGGTGAGGGACCCCCACACCAGAGGTGGGGAGGGAGGTAGCTGGCAGGCCAGGGGTTCCTGGGGGAGGACTTCGTGATTCTCAGCCTCTTCCTGCCCGGCCGCCTGTCCACACCCAGGGGCAGGGACTCCGGAGGTTGGGTGCCATGACTTGTGGGTTCTCGCCCTGGTTTGCCCAGGGCTGACTCACTTGCAGCCCCCAGACCAGTTTCCTGGTGAGGGCCCCACTGGTCAGCGGGGTCAAGGGAGGCGGGGGTCACCAGACTATTTATAGGAAGGAGAAGTCCTTTGTGTCAAAGTCGAAAGCCCCACAGAGACTCGTGGGTGGGGGTATGTGAACTTCCCCCTTGTCCTGTCCCCACCCCAGGCCCTGGGCCCCTGGGTGTGGGGGAAACTTGGGCACAGAGTCCTCCTCCAGATGCTGGTCTGGAGCCCAAGGGCTGGGCAGTCCCCTGCTGCATCTGGGCACCCAGGCAGGAGGGGGAGGGGGCTATCCTCCTCCTGGGGGCCTTGGCGCCAGTGGGGCGGCATGAGGGGGCGGTGCCCAGGCCACAAGGGTGAGACTGGCAGGGGCCTGGAACCGGCTGTACCAGCTGGGCTGGGTCCCGCCCTCCCTGGCTGGCCCATTCCCCACCCCCTGCTCAAACACCCTTGCAGAGTGCATGGAGCCACCCAACCCCACTCCACATGCTGGCCTGTCTCCCCTCCCACCAGCACCCCCCGCCCCCATTTCTGTCCAGAATAAAGAAGACCCTACGTGAAAGGGCCTGAAAAGCTTGGCATACAGTTGGTCTGATTATCCACAGTAGAGTGGCTAATGCTCTGGAGCCAGACAGCTCAGGTTATGTCTCGTCGCCAGCACTTTTAGCTGTGGAATAGGAGGCAAGTTCTTTTCCATCCCGTACCTCAGTCTTCTCATCTGTTAAATGGGGGTACATAGCATGCATTTTGCTGGGTGGCTGGAAGCAGACAATTAGTTACTCTACTTAAATCCCTTAGAAGAGTGGCCCATGGTAAGGGCCATGTAAGTGTTAGCTATTAAAATGATAATTATTATTTCTCTTGTCTGCCTGTTTTAAGTGTCATTGCTGTCTGCCTGCACGGCGCTAACCCTGCCCCCAGCTTGTCTCTCTGGCCATCTCTCCTTGCCCTTACCCCCACCCCCGTTCACCCCCCCTTTTCTTTGCTGGGCCTTTCCTTTCATCGCGACCCCATCTGGGCCAGGATCATGGCTCTCCATTCCTCCCCAGGCCTGGCCAGCCGCAGCACTGGCCAGCCGTGACTCACTGTGGCCTCCTGGCCCGTGGGACCTGCAGGTTGGCTTCCTGAGATAGACCCTCTGGCCAGACCTGCCCAGCCCCCTAACCCTGCCCACTGCGCCGCCCCCACAGGCCCCGGCCAGATGTCAGCTGCAGTTATTAGCATGGGCGGGAGACACAGGCCTTGGCAGCCAGCCTGCCAGACTCAGCGGCCACTGGAATCTCCCTTGAGCCTGGGGCGGGGGAGGGGAGCCGCTCAAGCTGGGGGAAGGCGGGTGGGGGCACCCAGGGGTCACAAGTGCCTCCAAAGACCAAAGACAGGGATGCCCCCAGCTTCTAGGGGACCTTCCTCTCCAAAGCCAGGGCTCTGTCGGACTTCCCCCTGCCCCCACACAGCTCGGTTTCTCTTTCGCCTCTTTCATTTTCCTTCTCTCCTCCACCCTTGGTGAGTTCTGTGCCTCCCCTTCAAAGGCTGGCGAGCCCCATCCCTCAGCATCTCTCCACTCTAAAGAAACTGCCATCCTTCAGGAAGACAGAGGTCTCTCTCAGAGAGAGACTCAGCGTCTCACCTCTTGTTCTAGTGGCTGTCACGTCTGACCTGTTGTGAAGTCCCACCTTAAATTCTAACTAGAAGCCTCACCATCTAAACCTTCTCCCAGTCCTTACTGGGAGAGGGCCTCTGCATTCACCAAGATTCTTCCCTTGGCTTTTCAGATCCTTTCGGATGAAGGAGGTACCTGGGGAGAGATGGATCCCACAAGGTATGCTGGATAGTTGACTGAACCCCCAGACTTAAACAGGAGTAGGAGCCCTTGTTCATGAGTGTGAGAGAGGGCACCCCGGACCTTACGGGTGCTTGTGTGGAGGGGCCCCAGATCTCCAGGCAGAAAGGATGGGTACCCCACCCAAGGGAGGGGACAGCCTCGCCAGCCCGCTCAGGCGCCAGGGACGCCTGGAGGCGTTGGTCCGCCCCTCCGCGCCCAGTCGGGCTAGGGGCGAAGTCCGATCCAGGCCTGCGGGCAGGCGGGGACCTGCCAGGCTAGGTCGGGCCGGGCTGGGCCTGGCAACACACAGCCCCATAGCGACTAGGTGGGGCCAGGCCAGGCGGCCGTGGCTGGGCCCGGGGGCGGAGGCTGGGGCTGGTTGGGACTAGCCGTCGGGGGCCCGGGCGCGCCCTGGGACCTGGCAGATGCCCGGGCTCCCAGCTCCCAGCTCCCAGCTCGGGGCCCAGGGACAGCGCTGGCCACACCCCTTCCTGTGCCCTTATATGGGCGTCGTGGGGAGACTCCGGGGAGCGCCCCGCCCCCCCAGCCGAGTGCGGACTCCCAGCGTGTTGCCACGGCGACGAGGACCTGCTCCCCGGTGCGTGCCCCTCCGTGAGGCTAATGGAATCGTTCCCAAACTGCCTGCCTCGGAGATCCCTGTGGGCACCGCGGGCTGAACCACTGCCGACGGGGGAAGGTGACTGGAGGCCTCGGAGGCCGGCAGTTCGGCACACCCCGAGCTGCGCTGGGGTCCGAGCCCAGGTTCCTCTTCCGAGGCGCGGAACCCGCCCGGCCCAGGGCGGGGTGCAGGTCCCGTAGGAACCCAGTGACGGAGGCTGGGCCGGGCTCCTTCCCCCAGGGCTGTTGCCACACTTCCTGCCGGAGCTCTTCCCGGTCTGTTTCTAAGGAAGGAGTGGGGCAGGGCGGCCGCGCCCCGGCCTCCGGGCTGGGTCCGGGCTCCAGGAGCTGACGCCCAAGGTTCCTGGGGATTGACTTTGGGATGGGGACCGAGTATACGGGCGCCTGGAGGTCACCCACACGGTGGGCGTCCGTCCTGGAAGACCCAGTAGTCGGATTCCTCAGGATCCTCAACCACCCTCCTTCCCTCACGGTGTCTCCATCAGGGACTGACCTCCTGTCATTGTCATCTCAGCTCGGAAGCTGTGCGCCGACCCCCCTAATTCTCCCTCCTTCGGGCATCGCAAATGACCCCAGGGACCCTGACCTGGGACAGTGTCTCCTTGTCCCCCACATGTTTCCCTCAGTGCACCCCAGGACCCTCATTCACTTTCAGCACATCTAGATTATCCTTCCCATTTCCGGGAGACCCTCTGCCTCTCCCGTGGACTCCATCTCCCCCTCCCCACACTCAGCACTTTTCCCGGTTCAGTGCCTCCCGTGAAAATGCCAGCCCTTCAGCCCCTCTGTGCTCAGGACCCCCCACTTCATTCCTGAGTCAGGTGGCTCCTTACCGCTCTCCCATTTCCCCTGCTTAACCCTTCCCTCTCTTTTATGGGGTCTCCCGGAGTAGTAGTCACAGCCCTCCACCCCCTCTCGGATACTACCGGCCCCTCAGGCCTTCTGTGTCCAACTTGGGGTCCTCCCTACACACACACACACACACACACACACACACACACACACACACACTTGCTCTGTATCAGTTCCTCGTGTCCCTCATCACCCTCCCCGGATCCCTTCCCTGTGTACCTCAGACCCTCCCAGCAACCCCTTCCTTGGGCGCCCAAGGACCCCTGAACCCCTCCCCCTGCAGCCTCGCCAAACCGCCCAGCCCGTGGCCGCTGTTTACAAGGACACGCGCTTCCTGACAGTGACGCGAGCCGCCTCCTCCCCTTCCCCACGCTCCGCTGCGGGAGGGGGCGCGGGCCGCGCGGCGGCCAATCAGCGCGCGCTTCCGCGGCTGCCAATCGCCGTATAAAGGCGCGGGGCTGCCGGGGCGGCCTGGACCTGGAGCGCGGCGGGCCAGCGGCGGAGCCAGCGGAGACCGGGAGCCGGGGGAAGCCACACCGAGGAGGCGAGCGCACCGGACGAGGAGAGGAGCAGGGGCTCGCGAAGCCAGCCGCACGGAGCTCCCGCGCACGGCAGCCGGCTGGCCTCCCCCGATCCGCGCCGGCCCCGGAGCGCGCTGCCCCACACCCGGTCCAGCCCGCCGCCGAGGACTGCGCGCCGCTCGCTTGCAGCGGCGAGGCCCGGGGCGGCCCCGCAGGGACCTCCCTACACCGCCCGGGCCGCCCGGATGTGCACTAAAATGGAACAGCCCTTCTACCACGACGACTCATACGCAGCGGCGGCGGCGGGATACGGCCGGGCCCCGGGCGGCCTCTCTCTCCACGACTACAAACTCCTGAAACCCAGCCTGGCGCTCAACCTGGCCGACCCTTACCGAGGTCTGAAAGCGCCCGGGGCGCGGGGCCCGGGCCCGGAGGGCAGCGGCGGGGGCGGCTACTTCTCCAGCCAGGGCGCGGACTCGGGCGCGTCCCTCAAGCTCGCCTCTTCCGAGCTGGAGCGCCTGATCGTGCCCAACAGCAACGGCGTGATCACGACGACGCCCACGCCCCCGGGACAGTACTTCTACCCCCGCGGGGGCGGCAGCGGCGGAGGCGCGGGAGGCGCCGGGGGCGGCGTCACCGAGGAGCAGGAGGGCTTCGCCGACGGTTTTGTCAAAGCCCTGGACGACCTGCACAAGATGAACCACGTGACGCCCCCCAACGTGTCCCTGGGCGCCAGCGGAGGGGCCCCGGCGGGGCCCGGGGGTGTCTACGCCGGCCCGGAGCCTCCTCCCGTCTACACCAACCTCAGCAGCTACTCCCCCGCCTCTGCGCCCGCCGGGGCCGCCGGGGCCGCCGTGGGGACCAGCAGCTCGTACCCGACGGCCACCATCAGCTACCTCCCCCACGCGCCACCCTTCGCCGGCGGCCACCCGGCGCAGCTGGGCCTGGGCCGCGGCGCCTCCGCCTTCAAGGAGGAGCCGCAGACCGTGCCCGAGGCGCGCAGCCGCGACGCCACGCCGCCTGTGTCGCCCATCAACATGGAAGACCAGGAGCGCATCAAAGTGGAGCGCAAGCGGCTGCGGAACCGGCTGGCGGCCACCAAGTGCCGGAAGCGGAAGCTGGAGCGCATCGCGCGCCTGGAGGACAAGGTGAAGACGCTCAAGGCCGAGAACGCGGGGCTCTCGAGCACCGCGGGCCTCCTCCGGGAGCAGGTGGCTCAGCTCAAACAGAAGGTCATGACCCATGTCAGCAACGGCTGCCAGCTGCTCTTAGGGGTCAAGGGACACGCCTTCTGAGCATTCCTTCCCCCTACGGACATCCCACCCCCCACCTCCCAGCCTGGACGGCTGGGCGAAAGCCTTCCACGGGGTGAGGGTGAGGGTGCAGGCGGTGGGCACCCGCCCCGGGCCATGGGAACGCCGAAAATCACACTGGACTCCTGCCTGCCCGCTCTGCGCCCAGTCCTTCCACCTCAACGTTTACAAACCCCCCTTCCACTTTTTTTTTGTATTTTTTTTTCTGCTGGAAACGAACTCGATTCATATTGAATATAATATATTTGTGTATTTAACAGGGAGGGGAGGAGGGGGCGATCGCGGCGGAGCTGGCCCCGCCGCCGCCCGGTACTCAAGCCCGCGGGGACACTGGGGAGGGGACCCCTGCCCCCCACCCTCCCCCTCTGCACTGTACTGTGGGAAAGAAACACGCACTTAATCTCTAAAGAGTTTATTTTAAGATGTGTTTGTGTGTGTGTGTGTGTGTGTGTTTGTTGTCCTGACTTTTTATTGAATCTATTTAAGTAAAAAAAGAAAAAAAGAGGTTCTTTATTAATTTCTGTTGTCTTTTTTTTTTTTCCAAGCCGGGCGGGCGGAGGGAGGAAGAGTACTGGGATGCCCCCGCCCCGCTGCTGCTGTTTGTGGTTCGCTTGGGCATCTGTCACCTCGCCAGCTCTGCCCCAGCATCTCGGGGACCCCAGCCCAGCCAGGGTGCCCTGCCCTGTTCGCGGCCCCAGACCCCGGGAGGGTGGGCTGGAGGGTCCAGGGCGAGGACGCGGTCCAGCCTGACACCTGGGGGCAGGATGCCCGGGGCGGCGCCGCAGTGCGCAGGCGCGGCCCCACCCAATCGCGCGCGCCGGGGCTTTCCCTGCTGACGCAACGGAAGCGCTGCCCTTATTTGGGCGCATTCTGTCCAGTGACGCGCCCGCGGTCTCCGGGCAGATTCCGGGAATCCCCTCCCCCGCTCTGCCGGGCAGGGGCCGCGGCGCCCGGAAGGAGGCCGGGATTTTCCCAGGCGGGCGGCTGCCCGGGCCCGGAAAGCCCCAGGCTTGAGTCCAGGGCGTCCGCGGTGGGTGGGCCGCGCTCCAGGGTCCGGGGAGCCGCCCCGCAGCCTCCCTCCCCCGGCTCGGCGCCCGGGCCCCGCCGCGCCCACGCTGTCTGACCTGACCCGGGTGGGGGTGTGCTCCTGCCCGCGCGTCCCCGCCACTGGTCCCCCCTCACCTCCGCCAGGAAGGGCGGCGCCCGCCTGCCAGTTTCCCCTCTCGGTGCCAGGCCAGGATCGGCGCGGCTGCCAAGTCTGGTCCTGCCAGGGTGGCTGGCCAGGCCGCGGCGCGCCCCCATCGGTCTGGCGCGGGGCTCCTGTCCCCCACCCCCCCCCACCCCCCCACCCCGCAGCTGTGATGGGCATGTGGGTAACGAGTGGGTCCAGCCTCGGAGCTGGAAGCACTCAGGACAGCAAAGAAACCAGCCCACAGGGGCTGGATGGACAGAACAGACACTTGATTCATATCTCAAGTACCGAACAACCCAGCCCTGGAGGCACAGTCTAGACCACAGCAGGCAGATGGACAATAAACAAGGAAACATGATTCCCAGATGGTGGTAGGTGCTAGGAAAAGAAGACACAGGTGAAAGCGGAGCAGGGTAGGTGAGCTGCTTTGGAGGACAGGCGGGGGACATAGACCTCTGAGGAGACCGCATTTGAAGAAGCCCAGCCCTGAGAAAACCTGGGTAACAGCATTCCGGGTCGAAGGAACACATGCAGTTCCTGCGGCCAGAACAAGACCAGCCTGTTAAAGAACAATAAGAAGTCAGTACGCCTGGAATAGAATAAACAGGAGGGTGGAGCTGGGGTCAGGGAAGACCACACAGGGCCTTGGGGAGAAGTGGAGATAAAATTCCAAGGCTGAGATTAGTGACTTTGGTGGGTATTGGGCTGGGCAGCAATATTAATAATGGGTCTGGATTAAACGAGCTTGTCAGTCCTGTTCTGTGGAAGTAAATATGGGCTCAGGGTGGCCAAGTCACTTGCCTGGACACATACAGAATCAGACTGCACTCCTGGGAAAATTGCCTCGCTCCTGCCTCCTGCCTTCCAGCCGAACCCTCACCTTCCACCCTAGGGGCTGACAGGCAGCTCTTTCAAACTTCAGAGGGGGTGGGGGGGTGGGGCAGAGCATGCTCACCAAGCACGTAGCTCAAGTTCCCACTTCTTTAAAAAATGTTTTTAAATTTAGTTTTAGGAAGGGAAAGAAACACCGATGTGCTGTTCCACTTGTGTATTCAGTGGTTGTTTTGACGAGGGATCAAATCCCCATCTTTAGTGAGTGGGGACAAAGCTCTAACCAACTGAGCTACCTGGCCAGGGCCTGGAGCTCCCATTCTTGGCTCTTCTCAGGATTGGGTCCCGATCCTTTTTTTAATTATTATTAAATATATTTTATTAATTTTTTACAGAGAGGAAGAGGGAGTTAGAAACACCCATGGGAGAGAAACATTGATCAGCTGCCTCCTGCACATCCCCTACTGGGAATGTGCCCACAACCAAGTCACATGCCCTTGACCGGAATCGAACCTGGGACCCTTCGGCCTGAAGGCTGATGCTCCATTCACTGAGCCAAACTGGTCGGGCATCCTCTTTTCCATAAGACTGGACTCTTCTTCCAGGCCCAGGTACCCTCCCTAGTAACCATTCACAGCGCCCTGAGCTTTATATATTTTATCTCTTCCTATTTTTATTTTTTATTAACCCTCACTTGAGAATATTTTTCCATTGATTTTTAGGGAGAGTGGAAAAGAGAAGGAAAGACAGGGAGAAACATGGATGTGAGCCCGAAACCGGTTTGGCTCAGTGGTAGAGCGTCAGTCTGCGGACTGGAAGGTCCCAGGTTCGATTCTGGTCAAGGGCATGTACATTGGTTGCGGGCACATCCCCGGTGGGGGGGGTGCAGGAGGCGGCTGGTCGATGTTTCTCTCTCATCAACGTTTCTGGCTATCTCTCTCCCTTCCTCTCTGTAAAAAATCAATAAAATATATTTTTAAAAAAAGAAAAAAGAAACATCAATGTGAGAGAAACACATCATTTGGTTGCCTCCTGCATGAGCCTTGACTAGGGGAGGAACCTGCAACCAAGTGCCCTTGACTGGAACTGAACCCGGAACTCTGGTCCACAGGCTGCGGCTCTATCCACTGAGCCAAACCAGCAAGGTTCATACTTGTATCTCTTTATATATATATATATATATATATATATATATATATATATATATATATATATATATATTTTTTTTTTTTTTTTTATTGATTTTGTAGAGAGAGGAAGGGAGAGGGTTAGAAACATTGATGAGAGAGAGTCATCAATCAGCTGCCTCTTGCACACCCCCTACTGAGGATATGCCCACAACCAAGGTACATGACCTTGACCGGAATCAAACCCGGGTCCCTTCAGCCAAACTGGTCCTGGCCATACTTGTATCTCTTTTAACATGAATGGTGATCTGGCTTGGTTGTCTTTATTTCCATTTTCCTGATGAAGAAAACCAGGAAAGGTCGCATCTCTTAAAATAACATGTGGGGACTGCCCTGCAAGGCCAGGTTCGGGGACTTGCTCAAGGCAAGGGGCAAATAGCAACTCCCCCAAACTGCCCTTAGGCCAAAGGAGAGAGAAAAGTGTATATGAGGTAATTCTGCCACCCTGTGGTGCAGATAAGTAACTACAGCGTCAGTTTCTCAGGCCAAAGGGGAAGGGAGTGGGATACCTGGATGGACAAAAGACAGCAGAACAGACCACACCAACACAAACTCACAACCTGTCCCTAATACTTTATTGGTCACCTCTAGGCCTGTGCCCGGTTGGGGAGTTCCAGCAATGGGTCACTATTCACCACTCAGCTAGGAATAGAAGAAGGCCTTGGCCTAGCCCTTCAGGATCAGGACTGAGGAATTTGAAGGGGCAGGCCTGGCCTTTCCTGGGCCAGCACAGGCACACAGGGGTGGGGGTGGGGGCCCAGAGCCCAAGCTTGGCATCTGTCTGCCAGCCTAACTGTGTTTGGAGAAGTATTCCTTGCTATCATCCACATCAGGCTTGATCGTGTCACTACCTGGCTTCCAGTTGGCGGGACAGACTGTGGGAAGACACAAGGACGCACAGGTGAGGTGACAGCCCATAGTCAAGGCAGGGCAGCAGTGAGAGGCAAGGTGAGATCCCGCATGGCAGAGGAAAAAGCCCAGAGCCAAGGGGTCCAGGCCCAAGACCACATCACATGTTGACAGAAGCCCCCAAGCTCAAATTCAGAGCTTATAACTGATATTTTCATTTCTTTTTGGCCCCTCTAGCCCCATCTTTCCCCCTCAGCTCCATCCCTACTAGACTCTGAGAGGCTATGGTCAAACTGTGCCCTCCACCCAAGAAGGTAATCTGATCCAACTAATTTTATTCAAATTAGTTGAATAAAATACCTTTTTACTCACACATCTTCTAATACCTTTTCTATCACTTTTATTACCTCCCAGCGACCCACCCTCCCATTGGGGTAGCTCCCCAATCAGACTAGAAACTTCCTGCAGACTAGGCCACGAGCTGAACCTTCACATCCATGTTACTTAGGTGACAAAGCAGACAGGGAGTGTCTACATGAGTGACAGAGAGGGGCATGTGAATGTGTGTGCACTCACCTTCCCCATGCTCATCTGTGTACTGGAAGGCCTGGACCAGCCGCAGAGCCTCATCCACAGAGCGCCCCACAGGCAGATCGTTGACAGTAATCTGGCGAAGGATACCCTTGCCATCGATGATAAAGAGGCCCCTGAAGACAGGAGGGTCCCAGTGAAAAGCTGGTGGCTCCCACTGGCCGGTGGAGGGAGCACCATCTCCCACTCGCGGCCACGGAGCTAATGGCAGGGAGGGCATTGCCCAAGCGTGGTCCCCTCACCCAGAGGACCCCCTCGTACCTGTAGGCGATGCCCTCATCTTCCTTCAGCACGCCATAATCATGGGACAAACTTCTGGTTACATCGGCCAGCAGGGGGATGTTCAGGGGGCCCAAGCCACCCTCCTTCCGCGGGGTGTTAATCCTGGGAGTAGGGGAGACAGGGCTGGGACCTCAGGATGCCTGGCCCCAGCAGGGTCCTCACCCTGGGACCTGGGTGTGATAAGGGCAGGCGGGAGAGGGGTGCTGGAGGAGAGAGATAAGGGGCCCTGGAAGTCCCACCCACCCCACCCTGCTGTGGGCGCAGGGGCCGTTTCCCACAGCTGGGAAGACTACGCTAATGCTCTCGTTCCAGCAAAGTGGCTTCACATGCGCTGGTGGCCACCGGCATCTTGGGACAAAGCTGCCCATCCTCTCCCCAGCTGAGTTCTGAGGCCCAGCCCTTTACTCCCTTGAACTGGAGTGCCGCCTTCTTTAAATAGTTGTTGGGGAGGGAAGCTGCTTTGCCCTAGTGAGATAAAGCATTTGCATCTTCACACCAAGCACCTGGATTCCAAATGCTAATTACCGCTGTCCTCGTTAAGGACCTGGGCGTCATTATTATTTCCATAATTTTCTAGATGGGGAAGGGAGGTGCAGAGGTTGGGCAATGGCCACTGGAACACACAGCGGGGACCCCGTGGGAGGTGTAGGTTTGGCTGCGTGCAGCCCTCCCTCCCCGCTGGCCCCCGCTCCTACCAAGCCAGGTGGGTGAACTGCGAGTCCACGGAGACCCCCAGCACCTCGCAGCCCAGCTTGCGGAAGTCCGCGGCGCGCTCGCTGAAGGCGATGATCTCCGTGGGGCACACGAACGTGAAGTCCAGCGGGTAGAAAAAGAGGACCACGTACTTCCCTGGAGGAGGGGGGGAAGGGGACAGAGGAGGAGGCGTGAGGGCCCGGCGCCCGCGAAGCCTGGGCCCCGCCCCCCACCTGGGCCCCCTCCAGGCCGGCCTCACCTCGATAGTCGGAAAGTTTCACCTCCTTGAAGGCGCCCTCCACCACGGCGGTGGCCTGGAAGTCCGGGGCGGGCTTGCCAATGTGCGCGTTGCCGGTGGCCATGACTGAAAGCTGAGACCCCCGCCCCCCGGCCTGGTCAGTGCGCCCGGGGAGACCCTTTGTCCGCCTCCTCCCCAAGGTCACACCTGCGTGCCGGGCCCGGGGACGGAGTCAGGAGGCCGAAGGCAGGGTCACTGTCCGGAACCCTCCCCGGGACCGGCTGGACGCGGCTTTTGGGCCGCGGGATACCCCTCCCTCCCGGCCCACAAGGGCGGCCCGGCCGCGGCCGCCCGCCCGGCCTCCCGGGAGCAAATGAACCTGGATGCGCGGGCGCGGGCTCGCCGCCCCGGGAGGAGCCCCCGGGAGGAGCCCCCGGGAGCAGGGGGCGGAGAGCAAGCCGAGCTCCGGCCTCGATTCCCCATCCCACCCCAAGGACAAAGGCGGCCCCCAGGGCGGACGGGGAACAAAGGCGGCCGCGGCTGCGGGCTGGAGAGGGCCGCGGAGGCTCCAGGGGGCTCCCCCAAGCCCGGGGCGCCCCCGGAGGCCCTACCTGCGTGGGAAAGGAGGGGACGCACACACCCTCTCACCCGCGTGGACCCGCGTTCTCAGCGCCGAGTGCGCGCGGGGCGCGGAGCCTTATAAGCGCGGCCGGGCCCGTGACGCCCAGGGCGGGGCGGGGCGCCGGGAGGAGCGGGCGGGTCCACGGCCGCCGGAGGGGAGGGGACCGGCTGCCGGGTCTGGGGGAGCCGCGCAGCCGCGGGCCGCGCCCACGGTGCCCACCCGTGAGGGCAGCGGGGGGGCGGAGAGCAAGATCCCGCGCGGGGCTCGGCCCCGGAGCGCGCCGGGAGCGGTTGGGGTCCCGCATGGACCGGAGCTCAACCGCGCTCCTGCTGAGGCCTCTGCTGCTCCTGCTGCTGGCGACCCCCGCCCGGGGCTCCCCCGTCTACCACTACTTCGGGGAGCAGGGCCAAGGCGACACGTGGGAGCAGCTGCGGCTGCAGCAGCTGGGGAAAGGTAACTGTAGGAGGGAGCGGTGCCCCGTCGCCCCACGCTGCCAGCTGGCTGCAAACGGACCCTCCTCAGCGGGCTTCCAGATCTCCGCTCAGCTTCGCGCTTGGGCTGGCCACTCGTCTCCGGGGCTCAGTGTTCTCATCTGTCAACTGAAACAGAGACTGCCTTTCCGCAGCTTACCTGTGGAGAGGGGGCTGGACCCAAGCAGACAGATCCACAGGCACATGGATAGGTGGTAGGAAGAGCAGAGACAGAGAAAGAAGGGAGCAGGTCCATTTCTTTCATATATATATATATATATATATATATATATATATATATATATATATAAAGAAATATATATATAAAGAAATATATATATAAAGAAATATATATATATAAAGAAATATATATATATATAAAGAAATATATATATAGAAATATATATTATATTAATTTTTTACAGAGAGGAAGAGAGAGAGAGAGAGCTAGAAACGTCGATGAGAGAGAAACATAGATCAGCTGCCTCTGCACACCTCCTGCCGGGGATGTGCCCGCAACCAATGTACATGCCCTTGGCCGGAATCGAACCTGGGACCTTTCAGTCCGCAGACGGATGCTCTACCACTGAGCCAAACCGGCTTCGGCCATTTCTTTCTTTTTAAAAAAAATATTTTATTGATTTTTTACAGAGAGGTAGAGAGAGGGATAGAGAGTTAGAAATACTGATGAGAGAGAAACATCCATCAGCCGCCTCCTGCACACCCCCCACCAGGAATGTGCCCGCAACCAAGGTACATGCCCTTGATGGAATCGAACCCAGGACCCTTCAGACCAAAGGCCTACGCTCTATCCATTGAGCCAAACCGGCTTGGGCAGCAGGTCAATTTCTGAAGCCTGAGCAGGCCTGGCTGAAGAGGATAGGTAACCAATGTAGCTGACATGACAAGAAAAGCAAAAGTTGAACGATGTAGGGGGAAGAGTGTTGCCAGGGAGTGGGGAAAGCATGTGCCAAGGCCACAAGGCCCGATGGAGTGTAACCAGAACCCAGGTTCTGCCGCCTGGTGCCACGGAAGCCACATTTGTGAGCTAGATGCTGGTGAAAAAAAGAAAGAGTTTATTCAAGTGTTGGCCACCTGAGAAGACAGGGGACTCTTGTGGAAAAGCCCATCTCCCGGAGTTTGTATAAGGAGGGAGAGGGAAAGCAGAACAAAGAGCCCCGGGGGAGGGGGTTGAAGTTCTCTGCTGGAAGGCCAGCATGGTCCACGCTGAGAAGAACCTCAAAACTGGTCAAGGGATGGTCTGGTGAGCATGACCCTGGTTTGACCATTGAAGGTCGGCAATTCTAGAGCTGAGATGAGTGTAGGTCAGCATCTGTATCTTCTGAGGTTAGTCCCTCTTATTCTTTTTTTTTTTTATATATATATTTTATTGATTTTGTACAGAGAGGAAGAGAGAGAGATAGAGAACTAGAAACATCGATGAGAGAGAGTCATCGATCAGCCGCCTCTTGCACACCCCCCACTGGGGATATGGCCACAACCAAGGTACATGCCCTTGACCGGAATCGAACCCGGGTCCCTTCAGTCCCCAAGCCGACACTCTATCCATTGAGCCAAACCGGTCTCGGCTATTCTTTTTGTTGTTGTTGTTAATCCTCACATGAAGATATGTTCTCCCATTGTTTTTCAGAGAGAATGGAAGGAGGGAGGGAGAGGACACACACACACACACACACACACACAGTATTCAATGTGAGAGAGTTCCTAGGATTATTTTACAAACATGCTGTTTACCTACAAGTTATTATACATAGTAATCAGAGTCACCGTCTACACAGAAACAATGTCAAAAGAATGGTGGGGTGGGTTACAATTTATTGATGTTACAAGAAAAATGAAAGATGCTAGTGTTCTGTGATGGAGGTTTGGCTAGAGAGAAGTCAGTAAAAAAAATAAAACAAACCCTGTTTAGGGAAGTGTAAGTGCTCTCAGTAAGTTGTAGTTGTTTTAAAACTGATTATACTCATTGTTTTATTTATTTATTTTTTAAAAATATATTTTATTGATTTTTTTACAGAGAGGAAGGGAGAGGGATAGAGAGCTAGAAACATTGATGAGAGAAATGCCGACCAGCTGCCTTCTACATGCCCCCCACCAGGGATGTGCCCCCAACCAATGTACATGCCCTTGACCGGAATCGAACCTGGGACCCTTCAGTCTGCAGACCGGCGCTCTATCCACTGAACCAAACCGGTTACAGCCACACTCGTTGTTTTAAAAATATATATATTATTGAATTTTTACAGAGATGGAGAGGGATAGAGAGTTAGAAACATCGAGGAGAGAGAAACATCAATCAGCTTCCTCTTGCATACTCCCTACTGAGTATATGCCTGCAACCAAGGTACATTCCCATGACTGGAATCGAACATGGGATGCTCTATCCACTGAGCCAAACCGGTTTCGGCCATACTCATTGTTTGTATTCCATGAGCTAGCCCAGTGCCAGGGGCTTTAAGTATTGTCATTGTGCTAATCATGTCATTTAATTTACCAACTGACAGACCTGCTGGCCAGGTGTCACTTGCCAGCTAGACAGGCTCTTGATCATGTCCCTGAAGATGAATCAGCTTCTGAGGGTGGGCACAAAGGGTGTTGTGCCACAGTTCCCACTGGCACAGGTGGGAAGGGTCAGTTTGCATCTCTCTGGGTTGCTCACCAGGTGTGTGAGTCGGAAGGGTGGCTTGCTCTTTCTGGGGCTCAGTTTCCCCGCCTGGGGCTAATGGCACAGAAGCACCACCCTGCAAACATGAACTACTGCTCAGCCGGTGTGGCTCAGGGGTTGAGCATTGACCCATGAACCAAGAGGTTAATTGGTTTGATTTCTTCATGATACATACAGGTTGTGGGCTCCATCCCCAGTAGGGGGCATGCAGGAGGCAGCTGATGAATGTTTCTCATCGATGTTCCTTTCCCTCTCCCTCCCTCTGTCTCTAAAATCAATTTAAACACACACACACACACACACACACACACACACACACACACACAACAACAACAACAACAACAAAACACCCACATGTTTCTCTCTCATCCCTAGACCAAACTGTTGCTGTCAGTGTTTTTAGCCTCCTCCCTCCCTGGGGTAGGGTCCAGGGGTACATAGATCCCCCACACACACACCCCTGACCCTCCATCTCTAGACGAAGAAGACTCGATCCTTGGCCCGTGGGGAAAGTGGCGGTGTCTTTGCGACCTGGGCAAGCAGGAGCGCAGCCGCGAGGTGCTGGGCACAGCCCCGGATCCGGTGTTCATGGACCGGGAGAACCTGGTGCAGATGCTGCCCTGCCGGCAACGAGATTGTTCGTCCTGCAAGCCGATCGACTGCGACTGGAGGCCCTGAGTCCGGGTTAGAGGCGGGCTCAAAGGGGGCGGACCGGGGTGGGTGGGAAGAAAGGAAGGACGGGGGTGTGTGTGTGTGGGGGGGGGGGAGCCCGCAGAGGGGAGGTGGGCATCTGGAAGGGAGAACTGGGGCCCTAAGTCTAGGGCTTGAGGGTGGTGGAGGAAGGAGAAAGCTGAGTCCGGAGATATGAGCAGAAAGGACGATTTCCAGGCAGAAAGGAAGAAAGATAGTGGAGGAAAACATGCTTGGGCGGCGAAGGGTTCCCAGGAGGGGTCTGGGTAGGGGGGCAGCCGACCTGGGCTGGAAGGGATTGGTGGCTGGAATGGGTTTGACTGGGCTCTGTTCCTCACTGCAGAGTCAAGTGTAATTACGGAGGTAGCCGTGGTCCCCAGGAAGGGACATGAGGCTGGTGAGAGCTGGGGACCCACAGGCAGAGGAATGGGCCTTGATGCGACCAGAAAATAAGACGGGGGCGAGAAGGGCGGGGTGGGAGACAACATGACTCCTGATATACAAGCGTCTATTGAGGTTTTGGGATCTCAGACCTCGGTTCGGAGGAAGGAGAGGCTTAGTCCGAATGAGAAAGAGGGTAGTAAGGGGGGGGGGGGGAGAGAGAGAGAGAGAGAGAGAGAGAGAGAGAGAGAGAGAGAGAGAGAGAGAGGTAGTCCGAAGGCCTGAGCCCCATGGGATGGAGACAGCTATCCCAGGATGCCTAGACTTTGTGGAGTGACAGGGATCGCGGCTGCAAACGGCCTGAGTCCAGGTGGGGGACGGGAATTCTGGGAGGGTAGTGTAATGGTATTTCATCTTCTAGGCCGTTCCCTTTCAGTTCCGCTCAGTTTCCCGTTTAATCCCCGCTTCTCCACCAGCCCCGGCGGGCGAGGCTCGGGAGCACTCCGAGAGGAGCTTCGAAAGCTACCTCTCCCACCCGGTTTTCCAAATTCAGAGCGCGGTGGTGGGCCTTGGGAACTACAATTCCCAGCACCGCCTACGGCAGTGGCGTGGGCGTCAGCTGAGCAAACGTCACGGCGGCGGGAGAGTTGGGGGCGTGTCCTGCGCGCTGATTGGTCAGGTCCAACCACTGCGGAAAACGCGCGCCGAGACCCGCGCCTGCAGCCCTGGTTCCCGGCGGCTGGTGGGGGCAGCCGAGGCGGCATGGATCTCAGCGAGCTGGAGAGAGACAATACCGGCCGCTGTCGCCTGAACTCGCCTGTGCCCGCAGTGTGCCGCAAGGAGCCGTGCGTCCTGGGCGTCGATGAAGCGGGCCGGGGCCCGGTCCTGGGTGTGTCCCCAGGGCACCTGGGGTGGAGGAGGGACGTGATCAGGGGGATGCAAATTGCACTGGAATGGGAGCCGGGATTGCACCGGTTTCGTTGTGTGTGTGGTGTGATAGCCGTGGCATAGGTGATGGCGCCGGAAAAAGTGGTGATAAGGGAACAAGAATGGCGGCTTTCATGGGCTCACTGGTTGGACCCCATTTTTCCAGGCCCCATGGTCTACGCCATTTGTTATTGTCCCAAGTCCCGCCTAGCAGATCTGGAGGCCTTGAAAGTGGCAGGTGAGCTCTCGGTGTGTATCTGGGGAAGGGGGTTCCTGGGCATGTGCGGGGGCGGATGTGAACTGGAGGGAGAGAGCAGGAATTGGGAGAACCAGCTGACCCCCTTCTCTCCCAACTCCTTTCCCAGACTCAAAGACCCTGTCGGAGAGCGAGCGGGACAGGCTCTTTGCGAAAATGGAGGAGGATGGGGACTTTGTGGGCTGGGCCCTGGACGTGCTGTCTCCAAACCTCATCTCCACCAGCATGCTTGGGCGGTGAGGGGTCCCCAGGAGGGGCCTGGGTAGGGGGCAGCCGACCTGGGCTGGAAGGGATTGGTGGCTGGAATGGGTTTGACTGGGCTCTGTTCCCCACTGCAGGGTCAAGTATAATCTGAACTCTCTGTCCCATGATACAGCCGCTGGGCTGGTGCAGTATGCATTGGACCAGGGCGTCAACGTGGCTCAGGTGAGCTAACTGTTGGGTTGCTCCATTTGGTCATCTCAGGATAAAACGGGAGTATGAGTGCTCTGAGCGATTCAGCATCAGACATTTGTAATACCTCAGGAATATTTATTGGCTGTTGACTTCCCTAACTATGTGACCTGCTAAGGACCCCCGGTGGGGCCCCAGCCCCACCCCCATCTCTATCCTAAAAGCTCAGTGTCCAGAACAAATCCCACATCTGTCTACCTGTCCTTGTCCTAGCCCAGGGCACTCTCCAGTCCTGGATGCCTGCCCATTCTCTTCCCTGGTTCCCCCACTTCCAGCCCCCTTTCCTACAATCTGCTCCCGAGCACCAGCAGCTGACAGCCTTTTTTTTTTTTTTTTAATGTAAATCTCAACATTTAATTTTCTGAGCACAGTGGAAATTAAATCAGGAACATTCACAGCCAAGGGGAGGCAAATGAGATTAAATTACCAGAGAGAAATATAAGTTGGCATGGTATCGAGTGCTCTGAGGCAAAGAACCAGCTGTTTTGAGAGAATGACATGGGCAAATACACTTGAGGGAGGGAATGGAACAAGAGACGCCTTGCTGAGGAGGTGGCGGAGGTCCAGAAATAGAATGTGGAGCTGACGATGCCATACTGAGCAAACAGACAACGGCCCTGCCCTTGGGTTCATGCCCAAGTCAGGGAGATGGATGTTCAGCTGGTAAACAAATAATAATGGTGATTTCTCAGAACAAAAACTTCTACTACGGAGATCACTTTCCCTCTTACCTCGCTGCTCCAGCCACAGGGCCTCCCCACCTCAGGGCCTTCGCACTGGCTGATTCCTCTGCCTAGAACAGTTTCCCAGATCGCCATCCACAAGGCTCATTCATTCCTTCATCTCTTTCAGGCCTTTATTCAAATGTCATCACCTCAGGGTGACCTTCTCTGGATTGCACACCTCCGTTTAAAATGACAGTCTTGCCGAGACCAGTTTGGTTCAATGGATAGAGTGTTGGCTTGGGGACTGAGGGGTCCCGGGTCAATTCCGGTCAGGGGCATGTGCCTTGGTTGCGGGCATATCCCCAGTAGAGGGTGTGCAGGAGGCAGCTGATCGATGACTCTCTCTCTTGGATGTTTCTAGCTCTCTATCTCTCTCCCTTCCTCTCTGTACAAAATCAATAAAAATATATTTAAAAAAATAAAATAAAATGACAGCCTTTTCACCCAGCTGGTGTGGCTCAGTGGTTGAGTGTCAGCCCATGAACCAAGAGGGCACCAGGTCAATTCCCAGGTCACATCCCTGGGTAGCAAGCTCAATCCTCAGTAGGGAGCACGCTGGAGGCAGCTGATTGATATATTCCTCTTGTTTCTACCTCTCCATTTCCTTTCCTCTATAAAATCAATAAAAACTGGGGGGAAAATTACAGCCTCTTCCAATTCTCCCCTATCCTTTATAATTTACCCTGTTTCTTTTTTTAAAAGATTGTATCAATTTATCATTTAAAAATATATATATTTTTATTGACTTCAGAGAGGAAGGGAGAGGGAGAGAGAAATAGAAACATGAATGATGAGAATCATTGACTGGCTGCCTCCTGCACACCCCCTACTGGTGATCAAGCCCACAACCTTGGCACGTGCCCTTGACCAGAATCGAACCTGGGACCTTTCAGTCCACAGGCCGACGCTCTATCCACTGAGTCAAACCAGCTAGGGTTTATCCTGTTTCTTGTCTGTGGCCCTCACCAAGGTGTCCCCTTCATGAGAACATGGGTTTTTGTCTGGTGTGTTCATTGCCTTGTTCCCACCATTTTTAAAAAAATATATTTTATTGATTTTTTACAGAGAGGAAGAGAGAGAGATAGAGAGCTAGAAACATCGATGAGAGAGATCAGCTGCCAGTTGCATACCCCCTACTGGGGATGTGCCCGCAACCAAGGTACATGCTCTTGACCGGAATCGAACCCGGGACCCTTCAGTCTGCAGACCAACACTCTATCCACTGAGCCAAACCGGTTTCAGCCCTTGTTTCCACTATTAAGTGCAGCCCATGGCATGCAGTAGGTGCTCAGTAAATGTAGACTGAGTATAGCTTATTCAGAAAAAGACTCTGGTTCAACAATAAAGATTTAAAAATAAACCAATAAAGTTTAATTTGTAGAACTGCAAAAAAAAAAAAAAAGAAGAAGGAAAAAAAAAGACTCTTAGGGAGGTGATCTTGAGCTGAGACCCCTGGGAAAAATGCAGCCTGGGACGAGCTAAGAGAAAACTATTCCAGGCAGTGGGAACAGCAAGGGCAAAGACGATGAGGCTGGATCGTTTGCACAGTTGTTTGTCCCAATGTTTGTTGACTGAATACATCGCTGCCACCGCCGCAGGTGTTTGTGGACACGGTGGGAATGCCAGAGACATACCAAGAGCGGCTGCAGAAGCGCTTTCCCGGCATTGAGGTGACAGTCAAGGCCAAGGCAGATGCTCTCTATCCGGTGGTCAGCGCTGCCAGCATCTGTGCCAAGGTTAGCCCCTCGCTGTCCATGTCTGGCTCCTAGCAACCCTTTAGGCATGGGGCAGGCGGGATGCCCCGAGGGAGGGAGATCTCAAGTGCCTGTCTTGCCCACAGGTGGCCCGAGACCAGGCCGTGAAGAACTGGCAGTTTGTGGAAAAACTACAGGACCTGGACACTGATTATGGCTCAGGCTACCCCAATGGTGAGCAGACGGTGGCAGGGGCTGCGTTGGGAGCTATCCTGAGCTAGTGATACTGGTGATAACTCTGACAAGGCAGTCCTGAGAGTGGTTCTGCTTACCCGGCTCCACAGTGGAAGAGGCTGAGGCCCAGACTGGGGGCCATTTGCTCACAGCCAGCAGCCATCATGTGGCAAAGCTGGTTTCCGGCTGGCAGGCTCCTCCCTCCCCGTTTCCTTCCTCTCTCTGATCTCTGGAACCCCAGTGAGAGACTGAAACCCATGGTGGGTGATGTCTGTTTGTTAAGGGGATGGGGGCAGGGTGAGGGGCACTGGCTTATGTCCCATGGCCCAGCTTAAATCCACAGTTTTCTCCCCAGTATAAGACTCACTTTCCTTGTCTGACATGGGAGTGGTTGTGCTCCCCCTACACACACACATAGAAGGGCAGGGTTGAAGATTCAGTGGTTGGATTCAAGGAACCCCTTGACCGTTCTGAGGCCCAGGAAGAGCCTGGCAGGTGGGTGGGGCGACACGAAGTGAAGACATCAGGCGCAGGCCAAAAGCAGTTTGGCCAGCATTCAGTGCCTACTGCGTATCTGATGCATGCTCTGTCCGGTCAAGCCTTGGGGATACAGCTGTGAGCAAGACAAACAAGGATTTGCCTGTCCCCACTGAGCTCATGGTTACATGGGAGGTGGGGAAGGGGGAGTTAACCTGAGGATCCACAAATGCTGGTCTAATGACTATTGTCCTATGGGGTAAAGGAGGTGTCTCGGAGGCAGTCTTCTTTAACTGTTGGCCGGGTAGAGAGTCCAAGAAGAACTGCCTGTGCAAAGGTCCTTGAGGCAGGAAGATGGCTAAGGTAGTGCAAGGTGCCTTAGGCACTCAAGAGGAGGCCTGAGATGAGATGATGGGGCCTCAGATGGGAGTCGAAGGAGCCGGGACCTTATGACAGGTCTCAGGGGCTGTCAACATTGCCCATTCCACCCCTTCCCTAGATCCCAAGACGAAAGCGTGGTTGCGGAAGAACGTGGAGCCCGTGTTTGGCTTCCCCCAGTTTGTCCGGTTCAGTTGGCGCACGGCCCAGAGCATACTGGAGAAGGAGGCGGAAGGTGTTCTGTGGTGGGTGTCCCAGAGGCGCTGTGAGGAGGGAGGGGAGCTAGGGCTTATCCCAGCCTGGGAGGGGGCACCCCCACAACCCCCAACAGCAGGTGGTCAGTATCACCACCTCTCGCCTACAGGGAGGACTTGCCAACAGAGGATCAGGAAGGACAAGGGAGGATTACATCCTATTTCAATGAAAAGCCAGGAGACCGCCCCCATCTCCCCCACCGGTACTTCCAGGAACGTGGCCTAGAGTCAGCCACCTCTCTCTAAGAGCCAGCCTGTACCCCTTTTTCCTTCAGTTTGTGATTAAAATTGCTTAACGAAAGCCCAGCATGGGGGTTGTACTTTGGGGTGGAGGTGGCTGGACCCAGCTGCTGACTTTTGTAACCTAACCAAGGTAGTGGGCACTGGTTGGTCGATTTTATTTTATTTTTTCAAAAATGTATTAGAACTTATTTGAGCCAAGATGAGGGCATATGCCTGGGAACAAGATCTCAAATGCTCCCTGGTTTTATTAAAAAATTCATACTTGTGCCGAAACCAGTTTGGCTCAGTGGTAGAGCGTCGTTCTGCGGACTGAAAGGTCCCGGGTTCGATTCCGGTCAAGGGCATGTACCTTGGTTGCAGGCACATCCCCAGTAGGGGGTGTGCAAGAGGCAGCTGGTCGATGTTTCTCTCTCATAGACATTTCTAGCTCTCTATCTCTCTCCCTTCCTCTCTGTAAAAAATCAATAAAATATATATTTAAAAAAATAAATAAAAATAAAAATTCATACTTGTGCCAAAACCGGTTTGGCACAGTGGATAGAGCACCGGCCTGCAGACTGAAAGGTCCCAGGTTCAATTCCGGTCAAGGGCATGTACCTTGGTTGCGGGCACATCCCCACTGGGGGGCGTGCAAGAGGCAGCTGATGGATGATTCTTTCTCATCGATATTTCTAACTCTCTATCCCTCTTTCTTCCTCTGTAAAAAATCAATAAAATATATTTTAAAAAATTAAAAATAAAATAAAAATACATACTTGTGTGATACACAATTAGGAAGGAGCGCATTGAGAAGCACCTGCCCCAGCTCACAGGTGGGCTTACCTGGTGTCTCATTCTGTTTGGGCTGCAATAACAATATACCACAGACGGGGTGGCTTATTAACAGCAGGCATTTATTACGGTTCTGGAGGATGGAAGTCCAATGTCAGGGTGTCAGCATCCTCGTGTTCTAGTGAAGGCTGTCTTCCGGGTTGAATACTACCAAGTTCTCAGTATGTCCTCGCATAGGGGAGAGGGGGAGGGATCTCTGGGATTTCTTTTATACGGGCACGTATTTCATTCCTGACAGTTCCACACTCATGACCTAGTTATCTCCCAATGTTCCACCTCTTTTTTTTTTTCTTTTTAAATATATTTTATTGATTTTTTTTACAGAGAGGAAGGGAGAGGGATAGAGAGTTAGAATCATCGATCAGCTGCCTCCTGCACACCCTCCACCAGGGATGTGCCCGCAACCAAGGTACATGCCCTTGACTGGAATCGAAGCTGGGATCCTTCAGTCTGCAGGTCAACGCTCTATCCACTGAGCCAAACCGATTAGGGCGAATGCTCCACCTCCTAATACCATCATCTTTGGGGGTCAGGATTTCAACATGGGAATTTCAGAGGGGACACAAACATTCAGACCGTAGCAGGTGCCTCCTGGGCCCTTCCAGAGATAGCCCATGTTACAAACAGAAGTACAGGTATCTTCTTTCCCAAAGTTTTGTTTTGTTTTGTTTTTTACACAAATGGGAGGAAACGATACCCTACATAGGTGCAGGTTGCTCTTTGTGCTGCGTATATCTTGGAGGTAATTCCGAATGGCTATCTGAAGACCGGCATCATTTGCTTTACAACCGAAGAGCCCTCGGTGGCATGGCTGTCCTGTAGTTTAATGCCTCTTAACGGACACTGAGTTACCGCTCAGCTGGCTGTTACACCTGCCTTGTGGGGAATTATGGGGATGGGCCATCATCTCTTGTGCACAGCTCTGTAGGGCAAATTCCCAGAGGGTGGGCTGCTGGGTTAGAAAATCTCTGTGCTTATAACCTGGAGAAGAAATATTCTCAGATTGCCCTCTGTGGACACTTGTACCTAATGGCACTTCCACCAGTGACGTGAGCACTGAGGGCAGGGGGTGAACCTGATCTGTCTCAGCAGTGCCTAGACGCAGGAGGCACCCACCAATCCTGCTCTATTGAATTAAAAGAGACCGGGCGGGTTTTCCAGGTGAGGATGAAGAGGAGGAGGAGGATTAGGAGTAGTGCTTACAATCCACATCTGAAACCTAAGTCCAGCCCTTTGCCTTAGGGCTTTGGAAGAATGGGGAGGGAGGCGGCCTCTTGTGTCAGGGAGCTTCTTGCTGGCTGCACACAGTGGGAGAACTCACCACCTGCCCCGTCAGTCTCCCCCCCCCCCCCCCCCCCCATTTCTAGCACCCGAATATCCCAAATGGCACACTGCTGGGAATCAGTCCCCAACTCGGACCTGAGGATTTGAAGGGAGACACATCAGTCTGGCAACTATCTTTCCCACCTGTTTGCCCAAGGGGCTGCGGCATCCAGTGCTCTGATGGACCTTATTCGGGGGAGAGGGGGAATGAGCTAGAGTTGAGTTTCTCTAGTAATCTGCAGAGGAGCGAATCTCTGGGGTTCTAGCGAGGAGGGACCTTGTGGCTCCAGAAACTAGAAGGCCGAGAGGGAGAGGGGTGGAACTCTGAGGGATTGATGGGGCGGGGTAGGGGGTGGGGAGTGAAGGGACGCTTCTTCCATCGAAGGCCAGGCGCCCCCTAGAGGCCGCTGCCACTGCCACTGCCACTGCCGCTGCCCGCGATGTCCTGGATCCAGGCGCGAGGGCGGCGGAAGCGAGGGCCGGAGGTGTCCCGGGCCCTCCGCCCCTGTCTGCGAGTCGGAAGCACCGAGATGGACATGTTGAGGCAGTCACCACTGCCAGGAACGACCTCCGGCAGCGTGTAGCCCAGGACCGAGCGGCAGAGGTCCCTCCCGTCAGTGAAGGTCTGGGAGAAGAGGTGGAGTTAGGGCAGTGGCCTTCCAAAGGGAGTTCCATGGAGAGGAGGGGCCCGTGGAGCGGTCTGGGGAGGACAATCCTCGCCTCTAGTTCTTCCTGGGAGCCTGGGGGAGGACCCATGGGGGTGGCAGGACTTGAGGAGGGCGAGTAAGGGGCTGGGACCTTGGGAAAGGTGAATGGGCTTCTGGATCTTCAGACTGTGGATGGGCCTAGAGCAGAGACAGTCCCTTGGGAAGAACAAAATAGGCCTCTGGGCCTTAGGGAGCCTGCAGGCTTAGGCACGTGTATTCCACCGTGGGGTTGGGCTGTAGAAGGGGGAAGGGGGAAGGGGGGAGCAGGGGTTGGGGATGCTAGGACAGACTCCGGCCTAGGCCACAGTGAGGGGAGGTCTCGGCCTCCTCCCCGAGCCCTCTGTCCCATGCTCACCTGCCCGGAGGTGCTGCAGCTGGGGTTGCAGTGCCTCTTGGCCAGGGGTGGGAGCCAGGTCGGGCCGCAGGTGATATCACCTTTGCAGATGGCAACCCTGGGGTTGGTGTGTGGAGAGGCGGTGGGTAAAGGCTCCGCAGTTGCCTTCCAGTGGGACTCCTGCTCTCCAAGGATCTTGTTGTCTCTCCCCCGCCCACTTCCAGGTCCTGCCTCTTAGAACCACGCCCCTACAAACACCACCCTCAGGTTAAACCCCGCCCCATATTCTCTCTCAAAAAAAATAAAATAAAATTATTTTTTAGCCCTAGCCCGTCTGGCTCAGTGGATAGAGCATCGGCCTGCAGACCAAAGAATCTCGAGTTCGATTCTGGTCAAGGGCAGGTACCTTGGTTGCAGGCTCCTCCCCTGCCCGGGCCCTGGTCTGGGTATGCGCAGGAGGCAACCAATCCAAGTGTTTCGTTCTTTTTCTTCTTCTTTTTAAATATATATATTGATTTCAGAGAGGAAGGGAGAGGGAGAGAGCTAGAAACATCACTGATGAGAGAGAATCATTGGTCAGCTGCTGCCTCCTGCATGCCCACACTGGGGCTGGAGCCTGCAACCCAGGCTTGTGTCCTGACTGGGAATTAAAGCGTGACTTCCAGGTTCATAGGTTGATGCTCAACCACTTAGCCATGCTGGCCGGGCCTCTATGTGTTTCTCTCACATCGATGTTTCTGTCTGTCTTTCTCTCTTCCACTCTCCCTAAAATTAAATCCAGTGAGGATTAACAAAAAAACAAACAAATTTTAAATTGATTTCAGAGAGGATGGGAGATGGGGAGAGGGATAGAAACATCAGTGATGAGATAGAATCACTGATCAGCTGCCTCCTGCACACCCCACACTGAGAATTGAGCCCACAACCAGGGCACGTGCCCTGACCGGGAATTGAACTGTAACCTCCTGGTTCATAGGTCACAGCTCAACTACAGAGCCACACCAGCCAGGCCCGCCCCATATTCTCTACACTGGCCGAATCCTTGCCCATCACAGACCATCTGCCATAAGCTAACCTATTTACCTATCTATCCATCCAGGTTATCCCTTTTAGCTTCTGTTTGCAATCAAGAGGCCCCACCCCTTTATTTAAAACCCAGGTTAAAGGGAGGCCACGCCTTCCTACTCTCCTTCTTAACCAGAGACCCTACAGGCTCCTCCCCTTTCTGCCTGGCTTCAAACACCAGGCCTCATAACTTTAGAATTTGGCCACATCGGAGGAAGGCCATGTCTCTTCAAACTCTAGGGTCTGTAAGCTGAAGATCCTGCCTTTGGCCCCACCCACAATATAGGCCATTCTTCCCACCTCCTACCAGGCATGGCAGAGCTCGGGGCAGAGCAGCTGTGTCTGGTGTGCCCCCAGAAGCAGGAAGCGGAAGTGACTGCGGAGAGCAACCTGGAGGTGTCCCAGAAAGGATTTGCACCTGGACATCGGGAGAGACAGGACCGGATGGGTCAAGATGCCAGGGGGCTCTGGCCTCTGGTTGGGGCAACTGGAGCAGAAAGAACAAGGAAACACTGGGGGTGCTGTACTCACCTAGGGCTAGGCTTCCTGCAGCCCTCCGAGAGGATTCCAGATTCCAGGGCCTCTGCTGTGTCCATCTCTGAGGGACAACAAACAGGGCAGTAGAAAAGGGAACTTTTTTTAGTTGGGGTTTTGGATCCTCATGTAGGGTTGACCTCAATAATCTAATTCCTCTCAAACATGAAACAAGACACTTTGAGGTGCAAGGAACGATAACTTACCATAATCAGCTAATTATTTTTATGTCCCTAGTAGTGTATAAGTGCTCAAATGCTTGCATACACTCCTTTACAACACCCCTACGAGATAGGTCTATTTCTCCCATTTTTCAAAAAATATTTTTATTGATTTCAGAGAGGAAGGGAGAGGGAAAGATAGAAACATCAGTGATGAAAAAGAATCATTTATTGGCTGCCTCCCGCACACCCCACACTGGGAATTGAGCCTACAACTCGGACATGTGCCCTGACTGGGACTCAAACCCTGACCTCCTGGTCCATAGGTGGATGGTCAACCACTGAGCCATGCTGGCCAGGCTCTCCCATTTATTAGTGGCCCACATAAGGCCCGAAGAGGTTAAGTGACTTACCCAGGGTCACACAGCTACACAGTGTCAGAGTTCATATTTGAACCCAGACAATCTGACTTCAGAGCCTATTATCTTTGACTACCACCATTTAAAAAAAAAAATATATATATATATATTTTTTTTTAATTGATTTTTTTACAGAAAGGAAGAGAGAGGGATAGAAAGCTAGAAACATCGATGAGAGAGAAATATCAATCAGCTGCCTCTTGCACACCCCCCACTGAGGATGTGCCCGCAACCAAGGTACATGCCCTTGATCAGAATCGAACCTGGGACCTTTCAGTCTGCCAGCCTATACTCTATCCACTGAGCCAAACTGGTTTCAGCGACTACTACCATTCTTAATCACAGGCCCAGGCTGCCCACCCTGGTCACTCTAAGGTTCTGTTATAAGGAAATTGTCATTGCTGTGGTGGAGTGTGCATTCTTGGGAGTTAGGGGTTAGGCAGGGTCTGGAGTGCTCACCTGCTAGGTGCAGCTGGCCGGGACCCAGATTAGCTGCCAGCCTGTGGCGTCTCTGGGACCTGATGGGGAGTGCACGGCCCCCTCCACAAGCCCCTAGCAGGATCCATGCCACGGTCAGTTGCAGGACCCAGGCCAGGCCCCGAGGTCGTGCGCAGCCCCTGCAGGCCATGTCCACCTGAGACAGAGTCAGCTCAGTTATGGGGGAGGTTGGCTGTCCTTTTCTGGAGCTCAGGGTGATACTCTTTTTTATTTTATTGATTTAAAAAATATTTTATTGATTTTTTATAGAGAGGAAGGGAGAGGGATAGAGAGCTAGAAACATCGATCAGCTGCCTCCCACATCCCCTACTGGGGATGTGCCCGCAGCCAAGGCACATGCCCTTGACCGGAATTGAACCTGGGACCTCTCAGTCCGCAGGCCGAAGCTCCATCCACTGAGCCAAACCGGTTTTGGCTATTTTATTGATTTTTTACAGAGAGGAAGGGAGAGGGATAGAGAGCTGGAAACATCAATGAGAGAGAAACATCAATCAGCTGCCTCCTGTACACCTCCCACTGGGGATGTGCACACAACCAAGGCACGTGCCCTTGACTGGAATCGAACCTGGAACCTTTCTGTCCGCAGACCAATGCTCTATTCACTGAGCCAAACCGGTTAGGGCAGGGTGATACTCTTGATGTACACTCAAGACATGGTACAAGGCAGAGCAGTTGGGAGGTATTGACTAAAGACCTTAAAACCCCAGGGGGCCCGAAACTGAAACCGGTTTGGCTCACTGGATAGAGCGTAGGCCTGCAGACTGAAGCTGGGCTCGATTCCGGTCAAGGGCATGTACCTTGGTTGCGGGCACATCCCCAGTAGGAGGTGTGCAGGAGGCAACTGATCACGGTTTCTAACTCTCTATCCCTCTCTCTTCCTCTCTGTGAAAAATCAATAAAATATATTTTAATAAAAAACAAAAACCAGGGGGCCACCAAGGCCTGTCTCTGACCCAGAAGCCCCCTCCAAATCATTCCCAAGTGCTCCCCAGTTTGACCATACTGCCCCACCCCCCTCATGTCCACCAAGACCTCCCACTCTTTCAGCTCTTGGACGACCCCCTCCATCCTCAGAACTGAGGGGACATCTCCAGCTCTTTCAGTGTCCTGCTCAGTAAGTCCTATCTTCTGCTCAGTCTCCTCCCCCCTCTCGATCCCCGCTGGCCCCTCATGGTCACCTTCTCAGTCTACAATCGGCTTAGGGCTGCTACTCAGGGCTGGGCCTTTGGAGCCAAGCTTGGCTGTGGCGGGACTCGGGTTCTGCCGCTGGGGCCCAAAAATCGCAGGTCAGAAGACTGAGAATCTGCGGAGACAAGACAATTCCCCCCCTCCTATGCCCCTTTGGGGCCCCTCTCACCTGTTAGCTACACGGTCCAGGGTGCTGCTGAGACACCTCAGGGTTAAGTCCAGGAAATGGACTAAAGGGGCGTGGTTTGACGGAGGGGAGGTGTTTCCCAGCGCCACGCCCCCTGCCCCAGCTGACCAGAGGCGGGAGGACCTGGGACTGGTGTATGTACATACATCCTTGTCTTTGCCTTTATTGTCGAGTTGTGGCATAAGCTATGGATGTCTATGTGTGGGAAGTGTGTGTCATGTCAAATGAAGGTGTGTTTGTGTGGCTGTGTGTGTTGTGTATTGAATGTATGTTGTGTATAGTTTTAAAAAATATTTTTTTATTGATTTCAGAAGAAGGGAGAGGGATAGAGAGATAGAAACATCAGTTATGAGAGAGAATCATTGATTGGCTGCCTCCAGCACACCCCCTACTGGGAATCGAGCCCACAACCTGGGCATGTGCCCTTGGCTGGAATCGAAGCTGGACCCTTCAGTCTGCATGCTGATGCTCTATCCACTGAGCCAAACTGGCTAGGGCTATTGTGTGCAGTTTATAAGTGCCTATTGCTTGTATGGCTGTGTATGTGTTTAAATTCTGGATGAGGTGAACTGTATGTGTTCCAAGCCAAGTTGAGTAAGAATCAGGTAATAAATGTAGGGAAGGGGAGTATAGAATCAGGTTAGAATGGGTGTCCTGTGAAAATGTTGGATCAGTGAGTGGATAAAGTCAGTGAGTAAATTTTGTTTTGTTTTGTTTTAATTTTAGTGTGTGTTTTTTAATCCTCACCCAGGGATATTTTTCCATTTATTTTTAGAGAGAGTGGAGGAGAGAGGGTAAGACAGAAAGGAAACACATGGATTGTCTGCCTCCTGCACAAGCCCTAACCAGGGCCTGGGCCAGGGAGGAACCTGCAACCTGGGACCCTACAGTCTGCGGGCTCTATCTACTGAGCCAAGCCAACTAGGGTTAAAGGTTGTATGTGTTGTTTTTTTAAGTTTAAAAAAAAATATATATTTTTTTTTATTGATTTCAGAGAGGAAGGGAGATGGGGAAGAGAAACATCAGTGATCATAGAATAATTGATTGGCTGCTTCCTGCATGCCCCCTATTGGGGATCGAACCTGAAACTCTGGCATGTGCCCTGACCAGGAATCAAACCATGGCCTCCTGGTTCATAGGTCAAGCTCAACCACTGAGCAACACCAGCCGGGCAATGGGTATAGGTTGTTGATCATAAATGTTGAATATGAATGAACAAGAGGATGTTGTCCCATGTAGAAAGGGTGTGTCTGCATTTGAAATATGTATGTGTGTCCAAGTTTGTGTAAATGTGTGTCCCTTGAAAACATTTCTTCAATTCATTCAACAAACATTTATTTATTATTATTTTTTCAACATTTATTGAGTACCTGCTCTCCCTCAAATTCTGGGGATGCAATAGTGATCAAGACATGGAAATCTCAATCCTCATAGACCTGACATTTTAGTAGGAGAGTCTGATAAGAAAAGCAGCCCTGCTGAAACCGGTTTTGCTCAGTGAATAGAGCGACGGCCTGTGGACCAAAGGGTCAAGGGCTAGATTCCAGTCAACAGCATGTACCTTGGCTGCAGGCTCCTCTCCAGCCCAGGCCCTGGTCGGGGCTCATGCATGAAGCAACCAATTGCTTTCTCACATCCATGTGTCTGTCTTTCCTTCTTCCTAAAAATCCATTCTTCCTAAAAATCAATAGAAAAAAAATCCTCGGGTGAGGATTAAAAAAAAAGAGGGGAAAAGGGAGAAATAAAACAGACCTGCAGTTGGCATGTGAATATGGGTGTGTTTCCATGTGTTGTTTTGGGATGATAATGTGTCTGCATGTTCAATGAGAGTTTGTGTATAGCCGGGCTTCCTTTGGTTTTGGAAACTGTGTGTGCATGCCTGTGTTTGCACGTGTTGTTTGTGTGTGTTTGCACTTGCTGAATGTGTGTGTTTGCATTTTCTAAGTATGTGCAGAGTGTGATTTTATGTGTATATGTGTGTGTGTCTGTTTGCTGAGTATATGTGTGTGCATTTCCATGGAGTATTTGTTTGCAGTGTATGTATATATGAGTATGTGAGGTTGAGCATGTGTTCATATGTTCATGTTTGTGTGTTTGCAGAATGTATGTGTACATGTGTCTGTGTCTGTGCTTGTAGTATGCATATGTGTGTTTTTGTGAGTGATTACCACAAATATCTCCATTTCTTCTCAGGCTAGTGCAGTTTTTGTCTATTTTACTGACAGTTGTACTTCTAGATCCCAAAACATTAATTTGCACAAACTAGGTGCTCAATACAAGTTGAGTAAAGGAGCTAATTAGGAGGCACTGTTTTGGGGTCCTTTTGTGGGCATCCATTGATATCCTGGAGGCGTCAGCACCAAGACCTGGTGAACCTAACTTTCCTGGCCCATTTTTGGTGTAGCCCAGGGTGCTCATAGGTCTATGCCTCCCGCCAGCCATTCCTCTCTCCTGACCTCAGCCCCCAACCCTGCGTGCAACTTTCAGCACCGTGGACAGGAGCTCCTGATAAATCAGCACCACGGAGAGCACTCACAACAACAAAAATGCGGACCAACAGAAATGAAACATATTACTTAGGCAAAGGCTCAGAGATGAGGAGAAAAGAACACCCAGACCTAGCCCTCTCCGTCACCCTATGACAAGCTCATGTCGCTCCTGGCTAGTGACCACGACCTCCAGAGCGCCCAGGCCAGTTATGGGCGGGGACTCTTGGGAAGACCCCAGTTTCCAATTCCTAGACTTGGCATGGGAAGTTCTTAGGAGCTTTCCACTCTCTGCGGAGCATGGTCGGTATGGCTTCAACTATGGGAACACTGCGGAGGAGGGGCAGGGGGTTGAAAATCGCTCCAGTTGCCCATCTTCCCAAAGACCAGCTAATCATTCCTATAAATACAGCCTGGCCTGGCCTGGCCTGGCTCTTTAATCCTGACGGAAGGAGCGGGTCACCAACGAGGCTGAAGAATCTCTATTTGGGAAAGGAGAGCGGTGTGTGGATGTAAATGCTCTTGGGAAGGGGCACCTCCCAAGAAGACGGGTCTTCTTGGTGAAAATGCCACTTGAAAATGTCTGCTTGGGATATGGGGGTCTCATGGGCGGGGACAGTTTCCCACAGAGAATAGGGCATTTAGGAGGTCGCTCGCTGGAGTTATCCTCCCCACATGAAATGTGTGTCACCCGTGGAAACTTTGCAGGAATGTTTCTTCCCCGGGGAGGGGAGCGTGTGAGAGTCGGACTCACCTCTCAGTGACCACCTGTCTTAGGAACGGTTTCCTGGGTGAGGAGAGTTTGATTGGCCAGGGCCTCCCTATGGAGACTGTCCCCGTGGGATTGTGTCCCTGAGAGGGTCGCGGGGGCGCTCCCTCGGGAAACAAATCTATGAGGATATCGTTCTAGGTATTTCTTGGGTTGGGGTCCACCCATGAGCGTGTCTCCCCCTGGAGTACCCCCTCACAGGGGTCTCTCCACAGCTGGGCTCTCTCTCCGGGTATCCGGAGGCTCCTCCCCCGCCTCCCCCACCCCCAGCGCCGGGGACCTTGGCCGAGGCCGGGCTCCAGCGCCCAGACGCAGTGACGGTGCCAGACCCGCCCCGCTTCGCTCCGCCCCCGCGCCCCCCTCCACCCCCAGCCGCCGACGCCGCGGTCCCCGCGGCTTCGCATCCCTCCCTCCTCCCGCCGCCGCCGCCTCCCTCCTCCCTCCCCGGGGCTGCAGCCGCCTCTGCCGCCATGGACGACTCGGGCCTGATCCGCCGCCGGAGGCTGCAGGTAGGCGGCTGCCGGGGCTGGGCGGGCGGAGAGGAAGGGGTCGGCGCCCCGGGGCGGGGCCGGGCCGGGGGCAGGAGAACTTGGGGTTCGCCGCGGCGCCCCCTCACCTGGCCTCCGGCTGCTCCCCTCTCGGAACGCGGTGGCCGAGCGTCCTGCCGCGCTGGGAGCCCCGCCCCTCCGGCGCCGCCCGGGGATCCGGGCAGCGGGAGGAGGGGGTGCAGCTCCGCACTGAGGACGGCCCGAGGGGCGCCTGGCCCCCCGGAGGGGACGAGGGCCGGGGCCGGAGTCATCCCCCTGGAGCTCCGCCAGGCTCAGGGTGCCGGGGGCTAGAGCAAAGTTACTGCCCCAGGGCTCCGGCCCCTCGGGGGCCGCCAGCACTACCGCAGCCGTAAACATGTTTGTGCGGCAGCCTCGCCCCTTCCCACCCCAGGAGCCCCCTTTTAGAGATGCGGGGGGACCCTCCTGAGACTCCCAGGCACCTGCCCAGCCACCAGGATGCTTCCTATTGACCTAATTGGACAGGCACCGAGACAGCCTCTCTCTCCATTGCACTCCCCTCCGCCACACCTCCCCCATCCTCAAGTCCAGCGCAGCTTGTGGGTGGGCGGGAGAGATTTTTAGCTCCTCGCAGCCTCCGAAGATGCTGGTCTCCAGCCTGCGCAGGCGCGGGCGGCGCGGGTCCACTGCTCGGAGGTGGACACTGAGGGCTGCTGTGGAGTGTGGGAAGGCGGGGACACGCTTCCAAGATGGGCGGGGATGGTGAAGCTGAGTAGGGTCTTCCCCTGTCTTCGGTGTGTACTTCTAAGGGTTCCTATAGGGGTCTGGCGCTGCTCCCAAACAGACCTCAGAGAGAAAACTGATCAAAGCTTCACCCCAAGGCCTGCCTGGGGTCTGGCCCTTATGAGTCTTTGTGGAGCTCAGTCCTGTGCTAGATAGTCTGGAGAGGGTTAGATAAAGCCTTACAGAACCCAGACCGAGGCTGCATCTCTTGCCTGGAGCTTGGGAAAAGAAGGGGGGGGGGCGTGTTTCAAACCCTCACTCAGGGCCTTGTCCTTTTCCGGACTTCTCTAACCCGCCATCCCTGAAGCTGGAGGCCAAGGTGAGCTCATCAGTCACTGCAGCAGGAGAAATCGTGGTCAGACAGCAGGAAGCACTTTCCAGGTGTCTGGATGATGCTGGCGCCAGACCTATGTTGCAAAGCTATTTTGCTTTCAAACAGGGCTCAGAAAGCCTCACCTAGGAGCCTTGGACTCTTTAAGTCTTCCCTCTCCGTCCCAGGGTCCCAGGGCTGACTTAGGAAAAAGCGTTCTGAGAAAAGGGAGGGAGCTGCGGCAAAGCCCGAGCAAGTGCTGACGGAGCCAGACGGGGTACGCGCTGTCGGATCTCCAGGAAAAGGGAGGGAAGGGGCGGTGCCTGCGTGAAGTGTGCCTCCGCCCCCCAGGCCGGCGCCGGCTCCCATTGGCTCAGCGCCACGCGGGATTTCTGTCTCCCGCAAGACCACACCTCCAGCCCAGGATCCTCCCCCTCCCCCTCCAGTCCACCGGAGGCATCCACTAGTTCCCGCAACTGTCGCGAGTCCTGCTCCTACCTTTTCCCTTCGGCAGGATTGGGTTAAACAGTTCCTTGCCTGGATACACCCTCGCGCTGGTGCAGCCCCTTAAGAACTTGTCCCACCACCTCTGAGCGCCCGCGGGTTCCCTGTGAACGATCGGGATCGGTTGGACAGCATCCGGGTTCCAATGCCCTGTTCGCAGCGCCGTCCATGAATCCCAGGGAGAAGCAGCGTCTGCTTGGCAGAGCCATTCTGCAGCTGGGGATGGATGTGACGTCTGTTACACTGACGCCGAGGACCCAAATCCTCTACCGCTCCAGCTGCCCCTTGGTTCGACCTTAGAATGGTTAGGAACGCTAGCGGATGGAGCTGGGTTTGAGGACTCCGGGTTGTGCTTCCAGGTTCCTCAGGAGCTCACCTCCAAAAGCAGAGTGCACCCAGGTCTGGAGTCCGGGGCTCCGTGGCCGGAAAATCCAGGTCTTGGTTTCACTTGGGCCATTGCAGTTGCGCAGCCGGCCAGGCTGATCCAACATGCAGCTCATTCAAGCTGATCCTGTGAAGAAAGGAGGAAAACCCGGTGTGGATTTAAAGTCACCCAGGGGCTCCGTGGGGCAGGACTGCTGCCGTAGACCCCAACCATACCTGTGTCCTCTGTACATGGGGGTGGGAAGTCCCTCTGGCCCATCTTCTGTCACGCAGGGTGTCCATCCACAATAGTTCCTGTTGCTAATATTGAGCATTGACTATGTGCTAGGTATCATGCTGATACCTGCATCAGCACACAGAATTCTTTTGGAGGCACAACTATTAGAAGGTCGTTTGCCAAGAAGCAAAACTGGGATTTGGACCAGGGCTTTCTGCTTTCAAGAATCCCAAAGATGATTAATTTCCTCCTGGTTGGACTCCCCCAAAAATGGATTTTTGAAATGGTCACCCAAATTTTGCAGCCCTACCCAACCCCCTTTATTCACATCAGTCTGTGGACTCAGGCTGGAAGGTGGCACCCCTCTCCCCATTGCTCTTGGAAAAGTTCATACCTATGTAATTGCTGGTCCCTGTCGTGACTTCCTGTGTGCTTAGCAAACAGAAGATAACCACTCTCTGATATGTACACATAAAATTAATGGCTGCTAATTATTATCACTGCCGTTATCGAAAAGACCACCTAGCCGTCATCTAATCCCCAATTCAAATCTCAGTTTTGAGCCACTCCAACTGTCCCCACCCCCAACTCTGTGGATCTGGCTGGGAGTCAGATAAAACCCTTGGAATGTAGGGGATGCATTCATTCATTCATTCATTCAACCTTTCATGCTTGAGCATGCCAAGTTCATTCCTGCCTCCATGCCTGCAGTTTCCTCACCTTGAATGCTTTCTCCACAGATGCTCCATCTTAAAAGTTACCTCCCCAGACTTTCTGGGACCTTCGTGACCCCTCTTAGCCATTCCTCATCATATCTCCTCCCTTCGTGCTTTTTTTTTTTTTTTTAAATTATGACAGTTGTTACTGTCTAAAATGATGTCATCACTTCTATATTGATTTTTTTTTTTTTTTGTCTGCTTTCCTCCTGTAAAGGATGGTCCCAAAAGGGCAAGAATTTTTGTTTCATTCAGTGCTGTGTCCCCAGTGCCCAGCACAGGACCTGGCATAGATACAGCAGGTGCTCAAGAAATGTTTTTTAAATAAAGACGCCTATTCATTCGCACATACATATATGGAGATGCCAACTCAGGAGTCCTCTATGGGGCCCTGTGCTGGTCTCTGATGGTCAGGGGAGACAACCCCCCGCGCCCCCAACCCCGCAGTCTTCAGCGCATGGCCAAGGGTGTCAGTGATGATGCTGATGGGCCTGTGCCACCCCACTTCTGCTCCTCCAGGGGTCTGTGAGACTCGCCCGCTGAGGCCGCTGGCCCGTGCTGACCTCTATCTTTTTGCTCCTTTGCCTTCCAGAAGGATCTGCCCCTGCCCCGGAAAAGCAGCAGGTGAGTCTTGGGGAGAGATGCGCGGGGCTGGATGCCCCCTCCCAGCCAGGGTTGGGGTGCAAGGCGGCGGGTGGGGCCTGTGGCATCGGTGTCCAGCAGCGCCCCCTCCTGGCAGGCGGCAGCAGCAGGCCCTTCCCGTCCCTCCCCTCCGCTCCCCTCCCCCGCCCTCCTCTGCCCGCTGCGGCTGCAGCCTCCGCCCCGCGCACTCCTCCCCGCGCCGCCGCCGCTGCCGCACCTGCCACCATGTCGCCACCGCCGGGTCATGTCTGACTCGCTCTGGACCGCGCTTTCAAATTTCTCGATGCCCTCCTTCCCTGGCGGCAGTATGTTCCGCCGCACCAAGAGGTAGACCCCCGACCCGGCCCCCAAACCTTGGCCCGGCCCTCCCCCACCCACCCAAGCCGCCCCTCCAGACGCTGCCGCAGGGCGGGGCCGGGACCCTGCCCCCGGCCCAGCGGCGCCAGGGGTGCCCGCGCTGCGCCTTCCTGCCCGGGATGGGGCTGTGGGGAGCATGGTGGGGTCTAGGCTCGGGGTGACTCTGGAAAGGATCGCGATGGGGGTTGGGGAGGAAGGGGCTGCTCTGGGTCGGGGGTTGCAGCGCCTTTGTCTGCTGGCGCCGTGGGCTCCGGCAGCTCAGAGGGGGTAAGGGGAGAGGGGAGGGTGGGGGCTTGGCACCTTCAGAACAATAGCCGACGCCTGGCCTCTCCCCCGCCCCCACCCCCGTGCCGCGTGCTCAGGCCTGGCTCATTGCTCAGTCACTGCGGCGGCGGCGGGTGGGGGGATTGAGAGGAATTTAGGGACTGGGGGCTCCCTCGGAAGCTTGAACTGAAGGGCAGAAAGAAGGGAGACATTTTTACCAAAGCACAAACTACCCCCCAACACAGAATAGTGACACACAGCGTCACATGTAGGACATGAAGACACACACACGTAAGCACACAACAGCCCTAGTGGCCCACACACACCCGGGAAGAGCCACGCATACCCAGCCAGACAGTGGCCATAGTCAGAGACCTGCACCGACACCCAGGTCACACAATAACAAGTAGCCCACAGGCACACTCTTTGGAAACCAAATAAGATGTTACCTGTGTGATTACCTGTTAACACACACAAGATTTTGCTACCAGAGATGCACACAGACACACATGGCAATGGCATCCATGCATCCAGTGCTACCACACACGATATCCTCTAAGCATGTCGCATGCTATGTCATGCTGATGCCAGAATAAACAGACACAGGCTCTCTTGCAGAGAATGAGATGCACGATATCACACATTATCACATGCAAGACTCCGACAGGGATTGTCACACACGATGGCACACCCAGACATGCCGGTGTCACAGGGAGTTAAACCTACACGCAGTAAGTGCCACTCGTGGACATGCATGGCGAGTGTCACATGCAGACACACAGCATCTCATACAGACTTTGCAGCATGAAGACATGGGCACACCGGGAGCAGAAATCCTGCATCAGGCAGATGTTACAGCACACGCTGGCACATCCATCACGCACCAGTGACCTCACACATTGTGTCATGCAGACACACAAAAGTACAGGCTGTGTCACACACGTCAAACACAAGGACTGTCGCACATGATGTCACACTGGGATGTGCCCAGTGCTGAACTCACCCACTGGGTGCCTGCCACACATGGACACAGCATGTACCCTAGATATACAGACACTCGGTGTCTCCAGCAGTCACATAGATAACACGACTGTCCCTCCGTGACTGGAACTACACCCCCCATGGCCACCCATGGTTCCCACTGGGTGTCTTCCACACATCACACTCTCATCCCTTCGTTCCATCTTGTATCTTCCTTGACCGTCTCCTCTGGGTGGTTTTCTGGGGGGCCCTTCCCAGAACAGGAGGGCGCGTGGCTGGGCTCACACACTCCCTCCCGGGCTGCGGCCTGGCACCTTTGCCTCCCCTCCCCTGCAGCTGCCGAACCAGCAACCGGAAAAGCCTCATCCTGACCAGCACTTCGCCCACGCTGCCGCGACCCCACTCCCCGCTGCCCGGACACTTGGGTGAGCCCGGTGGTGGGTGCGGACCGGACAGAGGGGGCGTGGCCACGGGAGGGGCGTGGCCGTGCCGCAGGGGGCGGGCCCAGTCTGGACGGGGCGGCGATTGGTGTGCGGAGCTGGATGGTGAGGGGGTGGGGCAGAAGGGAGGATCCA